CAATGCTATGCGCCTACAAACGTCTCAGAACAAGAGATGAAGGAGGCGTTCTACAGACAACTACAAGCAATAATGGACAACGTCCCAAATGGCGATATCAAAGTCCTGATGGGTGATATGCATGCGAAGCTAGGAGGAGAAAATACAGAAAGAGAACTCACTATTGGTCCTCGGTGAAATGAACGACAATGGTGAACTCTTCTCAGACTTCTGCGCCTTCAATGATTTGGTGATTGGTGGCAGCGTTTTCAAACACAAGGAAATACACAAGACGACATGGATTTCACCAGATGGAAACACTAAAAACTAAATAGACTTCATCTCAATTTCAAGGAAGCGGGAACGGAGCCTACTGGACACAAGGTCGAGGAGAGGAGCAGATGTGGGTTCAGACCACTATCTAGTAGAAGGGACTTTCAAGGTGAAACTAAAAGCCTCGAGGACAGCTGGGGATAGGCCACAATGCAAGCTCAACACTGAATTACTGAAGGACACAACCACAAAGGACACTTTCACTGCAACTGTCAGAGCAAAGCGGGAAACACTACGCGACATCACTGAAGAATCATGCGTGGAAGAACATTGGAAGTCTCTGAAGGCGATTCTCAACGAAACGTGTTCAACGGTTCTAGGAAGAAAGAAGAGACAAGACAAGGAATGGCTCTCAACGGACACTTGGAAGCCAACAGAGGAGAGGAGAATGGTGAAAGAGAAAATGATTCAATGCAAAGACGGAGAGGACAAAGAGACGCTGAGCTCAACTTACACAGGACTGGACAAAGAAGTGAAGAAGAGTGCTAGGAAGGACAAAAGACAGTTCTACGACAACCTGGCCACTGAAGCTGAGAAGGCAGCAGGCAAAAGGGACCTGAGGGCATTATATCAGATAACCAAATCTCTATCCGGGAAGAGATCAACACAGGCGAAACCTATAAAAGACAGCCAAGGGAACCCAATAATCAAGGAAGAAAAGCAGATTAAACAATGAGCGGATCACTTCAAACGACTCTTGAACCGGCTATTACCTGCAACCCGTCCAGAAGTGCCAACAACAGCGAGCACACAACTTCAAGTTGACACCAATCCCCCATGGAAAGCTGAAGTCTTGAATGCAATCAAGCTTCTGAAAGCTGGAGAAGCAGCTGGACCAGATGTGATACCCCCCGAAGCACTAAAAGCGGACCCAGAGACTACAGCAGACATGCTAACTCCATTATTGCAAAAGGTTTGGAAGGAAGGAAAGGTGCCTACTGACTGGAGGAAAGGTTATCTCGTGAAACTACCAAAGAAGGGTGACTTAGGACTCTGCAAGAACTGGCAAGGAATCACGCTCCTGTCAACGCCAAGTAAAATCCTGAATCGCATCATCCTGGAGAGAATAAAGGACGCACTGGATACAGAACTCCACCAACCTGAACAAGCTGGATTCAGGAAAGGCAAATCATGTTCTGACTAAATTGCAACTCTACGCATCATCATCACAGAACAAAGAATGGAATGGCAATCAAACCTCTACCTCAACTTTATAGACTTTGAGAAGGCCTTCGACAGACAGCGTTGACCGCGAAGTAATTTGGAAACTACTCGAGTACTACAGCGTACCCCAAATATTCATCAACCTTATTATTCAACAACTGTACGACAACGGCGGTACATGTCAAGTGATCCACAACGGAAAACTCAGCGAGGCGTTTGGAGTAAACACAGGAGTCAGACAAGGGTGCTAATTATCTATCACCAATGATATTCCTAATTGTGGTGGACAGGATCATGTGTCAGACAGCGAGTGGGAAACGAGAAGACATGGATATCCTGGACTGACGTGAAGAACCTAGAAGACCTGGATTTCGCGGATGATTTATGTTTGATGTCACACACGCAAAATCGAAGACTTACAAGCCAAGACCGACAAACTGGTCTAAGAAGCAGCAAAGACAGGACTCCAAGTGAACATAGACAAAACGGAGGTGATGAAAATAACCAACCAACAACAACAGCAGCAACATCCAGCGCCAATCACCATCAACGGGAGGGATTTGAAAGAGGTTAATTCATTCACTTATCTAGGAAGCATTGTCTCAACTACAGACAGTCGGAACGGACGAGGATGTCAAATTGAGAATCGGGAAGGCGAGAAACGTATTCATCAACCTGAAACCAATCTGGAAATCTTCGTCACTCAGCCTGCATCAACAACAAAATTCGGATTTTCAATACAAACGTAAAGTCAGTTCTTCTATACGGATCAGAAACTTGGAGGGCGGGTCACAAAGAATATTTCCAAGAGGTTGCGGGCTTTTATCAACCAACAACCATCTTCGCTCTATACTGAAGATCAGATGGCCGGGTCGGAAAGAATCACCAACAAGGAACTATGGGAACAAACAAAGCAAGAACCAATCACCCAAGAAATATGCAGGAGAAAGTGGAGATGGATCGGACACTCGCTGAGGAGACCACTGGGTGACACCGCGCGTCAAGCCCTCGAGTGGAACCCGAAAGGGAAGCGGCGTGTGGGACGTCTAAGGGTGACGTGGAGGAGATCGTGTGAGGAGGAGTTGAAAGAGTATGGACTAACATGGATGCAGGTGAAAAGTACAGCAGAAGACAGAAGCAAATGGAGACGTGTAGTTGAAGCCTTATATTCCGCTAGGAACCCAAGCTAACAATAATAACAATCCTTTCTTCCAATCCTCGTATACCTTGCCCTCTCCACACACTTTCTCCATCAGTGGTGTCATCAAGTCCGCTGTTGTCTCTGGGTCCATTGTCGATGCTTCCGCTTGGATTTCATCTGGTCCCAGTGCTTTCTCAGTTTTTACATCTTGATTGCCTTCAGGACTTCTGCTCCCGTCAGGGGGCTGATGGTCACTAATAGTTCTGCTTCTGTCGTTGGTATTGTTGGGCGCGTTGTAGGCGGCGGTCAATTTAGAAGCCTTTAAAGTGTTCAGCTCCTGTTTCCCTGGAACCTATTAATTTGATTTAGATTGTCCCTTGTACCAGATAGTGGTCTGAGCCAACGTCTGCTCCTCTTCTTACTTTTGTGTCCAATAGGCTGCCCCTCCACTTACTTGAGATTGAGATGAAGTCAATTCGATTTTTGGTTTGCCCATCTGGTGACACCCATGTATCCTATGGATATCTTTGTGTTTGTATACGCTGCCACAAATCACTAATTCATTGAATGCGAGAAGTCGGCGAAGAGTTCTCCATTTTCATTCATTTCTCCGAGAGCTTCTCTACCCGTGATCAGTTCCCTTCCTGTGTTGTCTGGTCCCAGTTTGGCATCTATGTCACCCGGTTGTATTTTCATGTCGCCAGCCGGAGTATTGTCCATTGTTGCCTGTAGTTGTCTGTAGAATTCTTCTTTCTTTTCGAGGTCTGTGTTGTTTCTGGTTGGACAGCATTGTAAAACTGTCGCTTTCCTTTATGGATAAGATTTTATTTCGATAAATCACACACTCTTGCACAGTTATATTAACTGATGACGTTTCGAGCACAAACTATTGCTCATAATCATATCAAGTAACTCACACAAATTTTTTCTTTCATTTATATACATGGGTGGAATCGATTAGGTATTGGATTTAAAATCAGTGCGAGATAATATCCATTCAGAAATAATAGTACGAGTGTTATTGACCCATTGCAATTATGTGGGAAATACGACTGCTTATACGAGTGTTTTTTATAGTAATTATAAGTTACTTGTTAGAATGTCTTGATGTGTTTGAATTGAAATAGAATTTTAAGATTATTTATTATCTTCTTCTGATTCGACTAGTAGCAGTAATACGAGTGTTATTGATCAGTTATTATCAGACGGGAGATACGAGTGTTTTAATGGTCATAATAAGTTATTTATTAGGATGTTGTGATGTGTTTGAATTGAAATAGAAATTTAAGATTAGTTATTATCCTCTTCTGATTTGACTTGAGGTAATAACATCTTCCATATTTCTGGTACTTGCATTGAATCATTTCTGTCACATGTGTTGGGTGTAGACTCGATGAATAAGGATTCCGTAATCAACCTCTCTCTCCACCTACCTATATTACTTTTTAGAATTATAAACCTATCCCACTCTATTGTGTGGTTATTTGTTATTGAGTGAAGTGCAATAGCTGAGCTTTTTTCTAAATTACTTATCTTTTCAGGGTCGACCATTCATACTTTAGCTAAATTCTTATGTTCTGATAATCTGACTATCCCTGACCTACCAGTTTGACCTATGTAGCTGACCTCACAATCGTTGCAAGGTATTTTGTAAATTATGTTATTTTGTCTAATTGGGTCCACCGGGTCTTTTAGCCTACAGAGCTCGTCTCTGAGTGAGTTTGTAGGTTTAAATGCCACCCAAATTCCTGCTTTATTTAGAATCCTACGTAGGGTCTCAGATGTCCCCCCTTTCTATGGTATAACTGTAGGTGACTTATATTCTCTCTTATTTATGTTATTATTACTAGTTTCACAATTAATTTTATTTTTCTTTTGGCCTTTTTCGATCTTCCTAATGAATTTTATAGGATAGTTATTTAACACCAAAGCCTCTTCTATCTGTTTTATTTCATTATTTAAGTCTTTTTCTGTGCTACTTAGTGCCACTGCTCGGTTTGTTAAACACTTAACTAAGCCTGCCTTAACAGTCAACGGATGAGAGGAATTAAAGTCTAAGTATCTATTAGAATGAGTTGGTTTTCTATACACACTAGTGTGCAGTTTACCTTCTATTCGTTTTATTTTACAATCTAACAGCTATTTCTTCTTGTTCATTTTCCGATTCAAATGTGAATTTTATTCCCTCTACTTGTGAGTTTATGTGTGTCAATAACCTAGAGATATGTTCCGTTTTTAACACTGTGAAAGTGTCATCCACATATCTCCCCCATATTTTTGGAGTAGGATTAAACGTATTAAGAGCACTACTTTCCCAGCTGTCCATAAATATGTCTGCTACAATAGGTGATATTGGTGATCCCATTGCCACACCTTCTGCCTGTTAATTTATTTTGCCTCGAAATTTAAAGATAGTGGATGTGAGGCATAAGTGAATCCCTAAAATAATTTGTTCAATGGGCAGCTTCGTCCTATGATTCAGTTCAGGATCCTCAGTTAGTTCTTTTTTAACTGCTTCTAAAGCCATATTGACTGGTATATTAGTATAAAGACTAGTTATATCAAAACTAACCATTGTTTCATCCTTCGCTTGTTGAATGTCATTTATTTTATTCTTCATCTCATATGAATTAGTTAGTCTGGAATTTGAACGATTTCTAAGGGGACAAAATATTAGAGCTAAGTGTTTTGATAACTCATAATTGGGGGTATTTCTAAGATCTACTATTGGTCTTATGGGGTGGCCTGGCTTATGTATTTTAATAGTACCATATATTCTACTAGCATTATTAGTTTTAGGCATTAAATTAAACCATTTAGACTCACCTAGCGACGGCTTCATTTTGCGCACCGGTTCTGCTGTAGATTTCTTAACCTTATTCATCATTGTATCTACAGGCTTCCTCATTTCTTCATATGGATCCGTCTGAATATGTTCAGTAACTTTTTTGATATGGTCAGATTTATTCAGAACCATGGTGGCGTTTCCTTTGTCAGCTTTAGCGATGACAATATTTTTATCCTGTTTCAGACTAATTAAAGCTTCTCTCTCCAATTTTGTTAAGTTTGATTTTGCTTTCTTTTGATTTTTCAGGGTTAATGCACATTGTGATCTGACCTCTTCTTCTGTTGTCTTACCTATTGAACCTAGTGCTACTTCTATGTGAGGAATAACATCCTCTGGTTTTTATTTATTAACTGTTACGTTGAAATTTAACCATTTCTCAAGTACTTTTATCTCAATAGAGCTTAGTTCTCTTGATGAGAGGTTGATCCCCCATTTTGTTCTGTTCATAGAGGATGAAGTGCTGACATCAGTTTCATTTGTTGTGTTCTTTCCTTCAATTAGTTTGTTGAATTTTTTGATTTGTGTGGTTTTTGATTTTCTTACGGCTGATTCTCTAGCTTTTTTGGATGTTTCAACAACGATTGCATAGTCTTTGTCATTGACCATACATTTGAGTTTTTGTTTGAGTTTTTCGATTTCGTTTCGAATATTAATTAGTTTCACAGTAATTCAATGTAGTTCTTCTCTTAGACATAATCTACTGAGATGTTCAGCTGCTGATGATATTTCCTTTGAAGTAATTGGAGTGCGTATGCGTAAATATTTTGGAATTATATGACATTTTAAACATCGTCTATTAAAAATCCGATGGTTTGTGAATCTTGCTTCTGTTTTAGAAAGTCGTGTGAGTTTATTGATAAGCTTCCCGGTAGGAAGACCATATGTATTAATGATATAAGTATAAAACTTGGGGACTGTGGTAGAGTATAAGTCCATTATGGATAAGATTTTATTTCGATAAATCACACACTCTTGCACAGTTATATTAACTGATGACGTTTCGAGCACAAACTATTGCTCATAATCATATCAAGCAACTCACAAAAATTTTTTCTTTCATTTATATACATGGGTGTGTGTGAGAGTTAGTTGATATGATTATGAGCAATAGTTTGTGCTCGAAACGTCATCAGTTAATATAAAGGTGCAAGAATGTGTCATTCATCGAAATAAAATCTTATCCATAATGGACATAAACTCTACCACAGTCCCCATGTCAATGTAGTTGAAGATTGAACGATCAATTCCTGGTTGTTTGCTCAAAACCAACTTCCCCAATTTTCGCGGAGGCATCAATACGACAGTCATCGTCTCATCGGTCGCTGTTCAGAAAGAAGTCAGCAGTAAACCGTCACAAGTAATATTGTGATTTATTATTGTAATTGTATTATTGTAATATTTGTTCACAGACCTAGTAAAAACACTATTTTTATATGTTGGTGTAACAATAGCGAATCCTCGAGTCACCAATTGGTGTTTTGGTTTTTTCGTCCGTTATTACCAAGCGTTTCTGAGAAACTTCAAGGAACAGCATGAGTCCCAGCGTAGCAAGAGCTGGGCATTAACGGTTTAGGAGACGTGACTGACAGTTTCTGACGATAGAAACAGATTCTGGCGGATTCAAACAGTTGGTGAAAGTTTGGATAGTCACCGTTCATCTTTCCTGGTGTCAGTCAAGTCCTCTTTGAACAAGCAATATCTGGAACGTTTTTGGAATTTGGTCAAGTTCAACAATGCCTGGGTCAAAGAAGGGACAGAGTGTCTTGGATGCAAACAGGAAAGTAAGTCATGGTGACTTGTCTGTTAATTGTAACGATGTGTCTGATGTTAAGCATGACATGGTTGATGTTACTGTTTCGGCGTTCAGGGATAATAGGAACATCAAACTCCCTAAATTTGAACCACGGTGTTTTGATGGAAACCCGGCTGATTATTTACAATTTGTAAAGGAGTTTGAGATCATGTTGAGTAGTTTTTTATTAAGTGATGAATTGAAGTTAATGTATTTGATGAGGTATTGCACTGGAATTGCTGCAGGAGCTATACAGTGCTGTAAGCTCATGCCCCCTAATGAGGGATATGCTGAGGCTATGAGCATATTACGTCAAAGGTTTGGAAGAACTTCAATGATTGTAAGGAACGTATACGAAGCTGTCAAAGGTTGTCAGTCACGTCTCATAAACCGTTAATGCCCAGCTCTCGCTACGCTCGGGCCCACGCTGTTCTTCGAAGATTTCAGAAACGCTTAGTTATAACGGACAAAAAACCAAAACACCGATCTGCCGTTTGATATTTCTTTATTGTTACACCAACATATAAAAAGAATAAGCGAACTAAGGTCTGAAAACAAATATTACAATAAAAAATCATTGTATTATTTCTGACGATGTTTCACTCTTCTTTCTGAACAGCGACCGATGAGACGATGACTGTCGTATTGATGCCTCCGCGAAAATTGGGGAAGTTGATTTTAAGCAAACAACCAAGAATTGATCGTTCAATCTTCAACTCCATTGACACTCCCCGGCAAAAAGGGATCCAACCCTTTTTTCCTTCACGACCAATGCACGTTGACTTGGATGCCATTGCGAGAACCTGGGTCACACGGACAGAGCTGAAATGGAAAACAAACAGAAAAGCCAACACACCACAAGCATACTCACAGCACAATCTCACACATCAATGACGACCTGCGCCTCCAGACAGAGACCTCCTCTTGACATCTTGCAACACAATCGCCGCTTGCTAGAATGACTCTTGCAGAATGCAACGTGACCATAGCACCACCTCACGATACTCTACGCACATCCTCGTATCTACTCACTACCAATTACCACTGCAATCGCTGGTCACTCATTCTGCCTCAGTTCTAATAGCGGTGACGCATGCGAGCCTCAGTCGTTTACACTCTTTCTCCCCGGCGTGTCGGACCGCAGCTAACAATTATCTCCGTGTGCATTTCATTCTCAGCAATAGCCTAGCCTCCCAGGCGTATACGACCCATCTGCTGTCCTTAACATCAATCAATTCATTCACGGATGTAGAAGACTCGAAACAACTTCAGAAGTAATCACGACGAAAATTTTAACAAAATTATGCAATAAAAACAAGGTACGAAAACAACGAGTAAACACAATGAATCCAAATAACCACCAATTGATATGACACACCACACGTATATACAAACAGTACAAACAAACTCGCATTTCATGTCTTGATGGAATTCCTTTGAAGAATTGCAGGACTTACACCAGTACGCCTACAAACCTTCACAGGTTGACCATTGTAAGTTGTGGAATGTCCGGACACAAACAGAATTACCAAACCAACAGCTAGATGACAGATGATATCAATTCAGTATATACAATATGAACATATGTACAAAATCACACACCGAGCACATTAGACTGCTCATTGATGCGCTACCCTTTGAAGAATTGTAGGACTTACAGCAGTACGCCTACAACCCTTCTCAGGTTGACGCTCTAGGTTGGAAAATCATCTAGTGTTTCATCCTCCGACTCTCTACTCTCAGCACCTTCCAGGAGACACAGTTTTCTGATATCTCGCACCAACATGCCACAACTAGTTCTCACCTCAACCGTCCTCACCAATCCATCACCACTACAGATCAGCCTTACTACCACTCCCAAAGGCCACCTACCTGTGGCACATTTATCTGCTACTAATACTATGTCACCAACCTTTAAGTTTCGGCACAACTTTTTCCACTTGTCCCTGGTCTGCAATGTTAGAACATACTCCTTTAACCATCTTTTCCAAAATATATCTTTCATGTGCCTGGCTTGTTTCCATCTTTTAATCGTAGGTATTCCTTCCCCGCTTGCGTCCTCTATGCCAGGGTTGCCTCTCAATAACAATAATTTATTTGGGGTTAACACATCAAAATCCTTGACGTCGTCCCTCACAGGTGATAACGGCCGGTCATTTAATATTCGTTCAGCTTCACAAAAAAATGTCTCCAGCGTTTCGTCATTCAAACTCTGGTTTTTAATTATGGAGCTTAAAATACGCTTGATAATTCCTATAAGTCTTTCCCATAGCCCACCTCTATGGCTGGCATGTGGTGGATTGAAGTGCCACTCGATGTTCCTTTTCAGTAACTCTTCCTGAACTCTCGTTTGAGGACCTTCGAAGTATTCTTTAAGCTCGGCGTGACAGCCAACAAAATTAGTCCCTCTGTCGCTGAACATCATCTTCGGTACACCCCGGCGATTTATAAATCTATGTAATGCTAGCACGAATGAATCAGTAGTTAGCGTATGAACCATCTCAATATGCACAGCTCTCATTTTCAAACAGGTGAATAAACAGCCATATCTTTTACATAGGGTTCTGCCTCTCTTCACTACAAAAGGTCCGAACAAATCCACCCCAACGTACTCAAATGGATAATTCCCTTCAGAAGCTTGCCACGCTGGGAGTGGTGCCATTATCTGCTGTACTGGACGAGCATTTCGGAGTTTACATTCCATGCACTTATCAATTATTTTACGGACAGCAGTACCTCCCTTCACTATCCAGAACTTACATCGAATACTTGATAGTACTTGCGAAGTACCCAAATGACCTTCAAGAACATGGTAGTGTCTTATAATGAGATCAGTGACTGGATGGTAGCAAGGTAATAAAGCCGGATGACGGGTCTCATATGACGATTCTAACATTTGTAGACGTCCACCAACTCTAGCGATCCCTTCGGAAACTATCGGAGATAATCTATCTAACCGCACCTTGAAATCTGCGAAATCGGGACTATCCTCCTTGGTAATCTCACCCCACGCTTCCCACTGAGCAGCCCTCAAAATCGCTAACTCTGCATTTCTAATATCTTCGACTCTCAAAGGCCCCACATTCATATTTTCGTATCCCGCAAGATGCATGACCTTTAAATACGTAACATATCGTGTCAACCACGCAACCGCTTTCAGTAGTTTGTACCAAGAAGAATAATATTTAAAAAGTGGATGTAAACCTGAATGTCTTTCTTGAGTAGATGTTAAACTGACACTTGTCTTCAACTCCAAGGCACACTCGTTTATCGGTGGTTCATCTTCTCTACGAGGCCACATACTATCAGCCCTTAGCAAGAACTCTGGACCTTTCCA